TATATATATATATATATATATATATATTCCTTAGTTGCAACATGGTTAGGAAGTGCACTTCCTGATTTGTGTTGTGACACCAGGGGGAGATATGCAACTCCAGACGTGCCAGGAATGAACTTTTTGCTCTAGGTTTCATTCTTGCGCTTTTGTGCTGTCATAGTTTTGAGCAGGCTGGAGCTTCCCTATTGAGAGTTGGGCTTCTCCTCTCCTGCTTTACTAAAGCTCTCACGTCTATATTGCTTTACTGGGTGACCAAGATAAGGAAAGAATCTACTATTTGCTTCCTTCTTCTTCTGCTTCCCGGGAAGGTGTAAATTGTGGTCCGGCATCTTAGTTGCTGTCTTAACTTTGTGATCCTTTGACAGTTTGGACGTACTGAAATCATTGTTTCAAGAAATATTTGTAACTCAAGGTTGAACTCTGGCTGTTTGGGGCTCTCTGAGCTTGGTGGTTTTCTTGCAGACGTTTCATGACCCAACTAGGGAACCTCATCAGTGCTAGAACAGAGAGGGAGTTTGTGGAGTGGAAGAGAAGGAGAGGAGGGGGAGGACCGTGGTGTCCTTGGTGCTCTCCGAGCTTGTAGTTTTTCTTGCAGGCGTTTCCATTCCCCAACTAAGTAACATCATCACAATTGTTTCTCATTGCTTGTAGCTTGAATTCAATATATACGATGCCATGGTATCTCCTGCTTCTAAGCCACATCCCTAGTGATCTTGTATATAGAACTCTTAACAGGAAGAGGGATAAAGTCACTTTGTATATGAATTACTTATAGGTATCTACTGTTGAGAATGGCCAGCTTTTACCATATTTCTATTTTACTACTGTAGCAGATCTTCAGGAATCATCTATAAAAGCCATGTGTGGGCTTCAGGCAGCCTACTTTTCTGGAAGTCTGCATTTCAGTGTGACTTTTGAGGGTGACGTTTCATGCAGTCCGTTCCTGGCAGGTTTCTGGAAAACAAAAAGTTTTCATTTATTCAGTTTGCTGTTATTTGTTAGAGCAGGGGTCTTCAAATGTGGCCCTTTGATGACTTGTGGACTTCAACTCCCAGAATTCCTCCACCCACGTTGAACTGAATCGCAGTTCACTCCAACATCTGGAGTTGAGCACAGGAAACGTCTTCTGACTTTACGGTCATTGTGAGGTCATCAAATGTTTCCTGTGGTCAACTCCTGACACGTGAGTGTGTTACGCACTTCAGTAACAGCTTCTACTATTCAGAGATGCCTCTGCTTTGAAAAGTGGCACGCATTTGTGTAGCACACTCAAACAGCAGCAAAGAGTTTATGACGGTTTGTATGATGTCATAAAAGGCCTTCTGATAATGTTTAGGTCAGGGGTCTTCAAACTTGGCCCTTTGATGACTTGTGGACTTCAACTCCCAGAATGCCTGGCTGAGGAATTCTGGGAGTTGGTCCACAAGTCATCAAAGGGCCAAGTTTGAAGACCCCTGTCTTAAAGCATCCTGGCTGAGGAAAGATCACGTGAAGTATTAATACCACTTTACAAGGCCTTAGTAAGGCCACACTGGAATACTGCATCCAGTTTTGGTCACCACGATGTAAAAAAGATGCTGAGACTCTAGAAAGAGTGCAGAGAAGAGAAACAAAGATGATTAGGGGACTGGAGGCTAAAACATATAAGGAAAGGCTGCTGGAATTGGGTATGTCTAGTTTAGCGAAGAGAAGGACAAGGGGGTACATGATAGCAGGGTTCCAGTATCCCAGGGGTTGCCCCAAAGAAGAGGGAGTCAAGCTATTCTCCAAGGCGCCTGAAGGCAGGACAAGAAGCAACAGATGGAAACTGATCAAGGAGAGAAGCAACCTAGAACTAAGGAGAAACTTCCTGACAGTTAGAACAATTAACCAGTGGAACAACCTGCCTCCAGAAGCGGTGAATGCTCCAACACTGGAGGTTTTTAAGAAGAGACTGGACAGCCATTTGTCTGAAATGGTGTAGGGTTCCTGCCTGAGCAGGGGGTTGGACTCGATGACATTCAAGGTCCCTTCCAACTTTATTATTATTATTATTAAGTCATCAAAGGGCCAAGTTTGAAGACCCCTGTCTTAAAGCATCCTGGCTGAGGAATTCTGGGAGTTGAAGTCCACAAGTCATCAAAGGGCCAAGTTGGAAGACCCCTGCTTTATTTAGGTCATAAGATGCTTTACAACATTGGCCTAATTTCAATTCCATGGGAGTCGTTTGTCCTGGATTTTGTTTGCCTTCTGTAACTTTGTCTATTTGAGAATTTTTGGCTCAGAAAGTTTTGTCTTGGGCTGCTAGAATTTCCTCCAATTAAAAGAGTACAGGAATCGGAGTTTAGTAGTATATCGATGTATGCACACATACTTACCCATCTACCTGGATATGGGGAGAGGGATTGAGTTACAGGCAGTTATAATTGAGCTCAACATTTCTGTGTACTAAGTGAGACCTTTCTTCAGTTTCGCCCCCTTTTTACAGCCATTCTCGAAGCCACCGTTGCTAAGTGAATCACTGCGCTTGTTCAATGAATCACACGGTCGTTAAGCGGATCTGGCTTCCCTCTTGACTTTGCTTGTCAGCAGGTCGCAAAAGGGGGTTCACATGACACACACACCCCCGGACACTGAGACCGTCATAAATACGAGTCGGTGGCCAAGCGTCTGCATTTTGATCCCCTGGGGAGGCTGCAACGGTCGTAAGGGTGAAAAAACGGTCACTTTTTTCCACTGATGCTATAACTTAGGTCACTAAATGAATGATTGTAAGTCAAGGACTGCCTGTGTATTTATTTATAAGTGACTTCAAACCACTTGTAGACTGTTGGTGAGAAGTCTGTATAGTTACCTTAGTAATATCTTTAGTAGTAGTTTGCCATAATAATAATAATAATAATAATAATAATAATAATAATAATAATAATAATAATAATAATAATAATAATAATAATAATAATAATAAAGTTGGAAGGGACCTTGGAGGTCATCTAGTCCAACCCCCTGCCCAGGCAGGAAACCCTGGCCTATACCATTTCAGACAAATGGCTGTCCAGTCTCTTCTTAAAAACTTGTTAAAAGTCTTCCTAGGGCTACTGCTCAAAGTCACCTAGTGAAGTTCCCCACAGGATTGGAACTCAGGAGCCAGCTTATAGTCTGGACTCTGGAGTCTTTTTAACTAGCGATATATTTATTTACCTACCCTTGAGGCAAATTCTGTTGCTCTGGGAAGCCATTGTGAACGTATTTGTCCTTTGATACCACAAGAAAGAACTGGAGCTGTTTGCCTGGGAATTGAATGTGATAAAAGGAGATAAGGATTGTATGAAAAAAATGACTCTTTCAAGCGCCTAACCCCCCGGGGCTGGGTTTTGGGCGCCGTACGGGGTACCCCTTTGGCGTGGAAACTCATTCTGATTTATGTCCTCCGTCCTGCCAAGATCTCATTTCTGGAGAAGAAGCCCAGACTAGGGAACAAAGCAGTTCAAGTTGGCGGGGTGGCACGGCTGCCAAAATTAAGCAGATTCCGTATAGGCCGTAATTATCGCCTCCTTAACGCGATCCCTTGCTTTCCATTGACAGAGAAGTCCTGGGAGGGGGGGGGTGTCTCTCAAAGAGAAAGTTCCAAGGTGTTTAGGTTAAAATTTTAGAAGTAATATTTTTTGGGGGGGCAATTGAGCTTTTCCAAGGTGCTCTCTCTCTCTCTGTGTACACATAGTTG